ATACTTTCACCGATATATGGATTTGCTTGGTGATACTAAAGTTTTACACGTTTCCTTCCAGCTATCTAACTATGACTTGAGAGATTGGTTTCTGTCTCCAGATTCACTTAGAGGTAGAGCTGGGGAGTATTCCAGCTCAGCTTCATTCCCCATGTCTGTTGGGTCCCTGTGTGCAGACCCACTGTGCTCATTACTTTCTAGATGATATTTCATGCATAAATATTCCCATTTACCTTGTCAATTTAGTATTTATGAGTTAAAACTTAGAGCACTGTGTTTATGCATATTAAATAGTGAGTCATAATTCAGATCAGGAAGGATTGAGGCTCCATAATCTGCAAACCCCAGTGTAAAAATAAAAATGAATATCACCCTTAAAAAAAAATTAGTAAGAGGCGCTTTCAGTATGGCAGCAACTTAGTGAATCATTCAACCAAGCATTCTAAGAAAAGAACTACACAGGTCTACATACACACATGATGGCCCCAAACCCAGCCAGTCTCTGCAGTCTATCCGTATGTTTTTCCATTTTATTAGAATTGCATTTGTAGAGTGAGCTCAATGTTCCTCAGATTGAACACAATATGTAATCATCTTCCTGGCCATGAGGAAACTTTTGCTTTAACATATATACTCCTTAAATAGAGAGCCAAGCAGCTCCTGAGGCGTGTGTTATATGTTTGTATGTATGTGTTTTATTCAGTGATTGTGGCTTAATAAGATGAGTAGGAGAAAATTAAGAAAAGTTGCCCAGTTCCTAATAAATATACTTGTGTAGTGCTGCAACATTGAAACAATGAAACATTCATATCTAGTGCTGGACAGTACCTTGGTAGATATTTTCTGCAATTCCCATCTCTCAATTAGGTAGAACTTGGAAAATAGAACAATATTATTAGATGTATACATAGTAGATGCTCAGTAAATATAGATTTGTTATTTGAATTACAGAGAATTTCAAAAATGTCGAGAAGGAAGGTTTGAACCAAACAGTCATTTATTTAGCCAAAAAGAAATATCAGTGAATGTTTTTCTTTATGTTCTCTGTGTTACATACAGTCTTTTCACTGATAATAACTCACTATCTCCATCATCTCTGGAAACCACAGACTGTGATTAAAGATGTCTGCTTTTCTGTTTTAAATAATGCTTATTTTTTTTTGCATTTCCATTTGACTTAAACTTGTGACTCAAGTTGAATCTCCAGCATCAGTACAACTCCATCATTCCATAAAGAAAGTAATGAAAGTTTGAGGGGTAACATGCATGGGCATTTTTATGAGTTATTAATTGAATCATCATTTTTACGCGCCAAAAGTCCAGCTAATGTGTGGTTTGTGATTGTATAAAGTATTTTAAAATAGCTGGTGGTAAGGTCAAGGAGGTTAAATTCTATATTCCTCTCCACTGTTGCACTCAAGTAGTTATTCAGATCCCAAGCGCCTATTTTACACCCTCAAAATTGTTTTACTAAAGTCATAGATATTGGTCTTAAATATTGAGAGGAAAAAAAGAATTTAATGTTGGACATACTTATCATTTTCTTGAAATGCTTTTTGTATTTAATAACTTTTTAGAGATGGTGCTTTATATTGCGTGGTGGGTATGGGCTTGGGTAAAGATGATTTATAAACCATTATGTTCAGTTTCCTTTTCAGACATTAGTTCCATCAACTTTCTCCAAATGTCTGTGATTCTCTTCTTCTTTTTGACACCTGACCAGCTTTTCCCTCCCAATAGTGCATGATCATGACATAATCACATTGTTAGTCCTTTTCAACTTTATTTTTTCAGCAGTGATTGGCCATGGCCAGCTCATTTATCCATTATTTTTAGTCCTTAGGAGGAATCTCATCATTAGCTTTGAAAATGTACATATTTTTTTAAACTTGATGAAGTCACTTCGTTCTCTTAATTGGTCTCTACTGCATTTTATAGTGCAAAAGGAGTTTATCTATTCACTTTATTTATTAGATTTGATTGCTTATTATTTCTATTTGTAGGACACATGTAGTTCCAGTTGCTTTGTCTTCTGCCCCCCCCAGATTATTTCAATTTAGTATCAGGAAAAATGCTAGAAGGATTATAATTTTTTTGAGAATTATAGCACCCTATCATCTGAAGAGAATACTCAATAATATAAAATGAGACAAAGGTGTCTTGGTTGTGTTATTTTTATAATAAATGACCACAATATAGAGGTATGTTTTTCTCCTGTCTATACGAATTAACAGAAACTAATTGAGCCATAAAAATCGGTATGGTCTTATATCCCTAAATGCACTTTAGGAAGTACAAAGGACTACATTTCTTTTTAAGACTTGAAATGATCCTGGAAAGACAGATGGAACCTCTTCCAGGAAATTTTTCTTTCTGCTAACACATGCCCCTCCTCCTCTGTACTTTGTACCAGCCTGATTAGTGATTGCTCCTATGTGGAATTCTAAGTTTTTTTTTGTTAGTCTTCTTCTTCCCTGCCCTTTCAAGGGCAAGAGCTTTACCTTCTTTATTTTTGTGCCACTGAATTTGGTCCAGTGATGAAAAGATGATGTTCCTTTTAGAGATCTCACAGTTTAGGAGGCAGAGAAGTAGAAATGGATACTGTATGTAGTAGTAAAGAAGATGATGAAATAGAACCTGACACTTGAGCCAAATCTTTAAATACACTGGGGAGCTTCTCTGTGGGAACACTGGGGAAGGGATATTTCAGGTAAAAGAATGGCATCCCCAGGATCTCTGGGAGCACAGTGAGAGTAGAGTTGGCCAGATAATGAAAGGCCTCATAGACCTGGCTCAAGAATATGCCTTTTGTTTTTTGCTTTTGTTTCCTTTTCCTGAAGAGCTATTTAAAAAATTTTCAGAAGGGGAATTTGGCGTACTCCAATATCTTTTTTAGATGGATTACCAGACATTTTGGAAGATAGATTTTTTTTTTTTTTAATTTTTTTTTCAACGTGTTTATTTATTTTTGGGACAGAGAGAGACAGAGCATGAACGGGGGAGGGGCAGAGAGAGAGGGAGACACAGAATCGGAAACAGGCTCCAGGCTCCGAGCCATCAGCCCAGAGCCTGACGCGGGGCTCGAACTCACGGACCGCGAGATTGTGACCTGGCTGAAGTCGGACGCTTAACCGACTGCGCCACCCAGGCACCCCTGGAAGATAGATTTAAAAGCAGACCAGGGCACTTGGATGGCTCAGTTGGTTAAGCATCCGACTTTGGCTCAGATCATGAACTCATGGTTTGTGGGTTTGCGCCCCGCATCAGACTCTGCACTGACAACTTAGAGCCTAGAGCCTACTTTGGATTCATTCTCTCTCTCTCTCTCTCTCTCTCTCTCTTTTCTGCCCCTCCCCCACTTGCGCTCTTCTTTCTCAGAAATAAACAAACATTTAAAAAAATAAATAAATAAAAGCAGACCAAATTAGGGGCAGTGAGACCAGTTAGGAGGAAAGAAATGGTGAGGACCCCAAATCAGGTTATAATAGTCAAGCTGTAGGAGAGAAGACATAGTAAAAGTGTCTTAAGTTGTTCTGAGGAGATAAAATTGGCAAAGCAGGTGTTCTTATTGGAGGATGGTTTGAGGTAGGTATGGCGAAAGGATGAACATATTTTTGAGCAGAAGATGATAAACTCGGTTGTGGGCCTCCTGAATTAGAGACCCTTTTGCAACCTAAGATTCCTTGCCAACATGCGAATGTATGGGAGAGAACCCAAGAGGCTTCTAAGTTATGAATACAGATTTAGAAGTCTTTGGAAAAATGGGTATTGGTTGAAGCACTGTGTATGAGTGAGATCAGTCAGGAATCACATGCAAGTAGAGAATTAAACTAAGACCAGATCTGTATGAAAAAGCAGAGTTGCAAAGCAGAAACAAAAGTTTGAGCTAGAGAAATAGAATGAGGATGAGTGGTAAGCAGGTAGTCACAAGAGAATGATGCTGTAAATCCCAAGATTGGAGAGAGAGAGAAATTGAGGGCTCAGCATAAGAAAGGGTCATACATAATAGGGAAAATCATCAGACTCGGGATAGTTGAAGTTTCCATGAAAGAATTAGAAAGGGTATAGACTTATCTTTCTTTTTTTTTTTTTCACTTTTTTCTAAGCGTTTATTTATTTTGGGACAGAGACAGGTATGAACAGGAGAGGGGCAGAGGAGAGGGGAGACACAAGAATCGAGGAGAGAACGAAAGGCTCCAGGCTCCAGGCCATGAAGAGCCGACTGGCCAGGCGGGGCTCGAGACTCCTGAACCCATGAGGATCGTGACCTGGCTGAAGTCGGGGCCAACACCATTCATACAAGAAGCGCCTAGAACTTATCTTTCTTAACTTGGGCTTTGGAATGGGAGGAAGGAAAGTTGTAGTCAGCTACGTAGTTGTTGTTTTTTTGTTTTGTTTTGTTTTTTTGTTTTTAGCTCAGCTACACTCTTGGTCTGGAGAGTTTAAAACTCTTCCTACTCAACTATAATTAATCAAAGGGCAGTTAGAAAATATCTTCTTTTCTAATACTAGTTTCCTTTTTTTCCTGACTTTTTTATAGTTTTGAGAGCTCAAAGTAAAGCAGTTTTCATTTGCTGTTTTTCATGTTTAAATTTTATGCCACAAGAAATACCTTTTCATGAGAGTATTCCACTTAGGTATGATGGCTGATTAGACAGATGGGCTGTAGACAAGTAGATTAGCAGCCGCTGTGGCGAAAATTATCTTGAAAAATATTTAATTTAATAATTTAATATTTAATGTCACCAGAGAAACTGGTCAAGGGAAGACAGGTAGAAAGTATTTTAGAAGGCATTTCCTGGCCTTTACATTATGTGCACAATTCATCTGTATGACGATCAGCATATGATTCCACAGTTTAAGCATTTGTCATGAGATGATTGTCATGAGTTTTTGGTTCTTATTTAAGCTTCCATAGGTGAGTACATTCAAGAGTGATGTTTATACATTTGCTCATTTCATATTGAAATAACACATGCTCCATTTTTTTCTGTTTGTAGGGAAAAGAAACACTGATGACTCCCATCCCCTTTGCTAGACCACAGGATTTAGGGCCAACGATTGCTATTGTTACTAAAGTCAACCAGATCCAGGATCATCTACTGAAGAAGCATGATATTGAGCTTTATATGCACTTGAACAGACTAGAAATCGCACCACAGATATATGGGTTGTAAGTACTAAAGTTTACGTTTCAGCTGTATCTAACTATGACTTAGGGTGGTTTCTGTATGTCTCAGATTCATAGAGGTAAGAGCTGGAATTATTCCAGCTCCGCTTCATTTCCTATGTCTGTTGGGTCCTATGTGCCAGACCCTGTGCTCATTACTTTCACAGATGATATTTCATCAAATATTCCCATTTACCTTGTCAATTTAGTGTCACATGAGTTAAGAAACTTAAGGCTTACACTGTGTTTATGCATATTAAATAGTGAGGTCATAATTCAGATCCAGGAAGGATTGGCTCCATAATCTGCAGAGCCCAGTGTAAAATAAAAATGAATATCACCCTTAAAAAAAATTAGTAAGAATTTCAGTATGGCAACAACAGATCATTCAACCAAGCATTCTAAGAAGGGCAGAGCCACACAGGTCATACACACATGAAACCAGCCCCAAACCCAGCCAGTCCTGCAGTCTATCCATGTGTTTTCCATTTTATTGGGAATTGCATTTGTAGAAGTGAGCTCAATGTTCCTCAGGGTGAACACAATATGGTAATCATCTTCAGCCATGAAACTTTTGTAACATGCTATCGCAGAAGAATAGGGAGCCAAGCGCTCCTCAGAGACGTGTGTTATGTTTGTATGTGTGTTTATTCAGTGGCTTAATAAGATGAGTAGGAAAATTAGAAAGATTGCAGTTCTAATAAATATAAATTTGTGTAGTGCTGCAACATTGAAACAATAAAACATTCATATCTAGTGCTGGACAGTACCTTGGTAGATATTTTCTGCAATTCCCATCTCTCAATTAGGTAGAACTTGGAAAATAGAGACAATATTATTAAGATGTACATAGTAGATGCTCAGTAAATATGAATTTGTTATTTGAATTACAGAGAATTTCAAAAAATCGAAGGTTTAAGACCAGAGCAGAGTCTGTTTATTTAGCCCAAAGAAATATCAGTGAATGTTTTCTTTATGTTCTCATGTTACATACAGTCTTTCACTGATAATAACTCTGCTATCTATCATCTCTGGAAACCCTGAACTGTGATTAAAGATGTCTGCTTTTCTGTTTAAATAATGCTTATTTTCATTTCTGTGACTTAAACTTGTGACTCAAGTTTAAGTCTCAGCATTGAGAGCAGCTCCATCATTCCCATGAGAAATGAGAAAGTTGAGGGTAACATGCATATTGGGCAGTACTGTAAGTTATTAGTGAATCATCATTTACACTTAAAAGTCTGGCTAATGTGTTTGTGATTGTAGACATAAAAATTATTTTAAAATAGCTGGTGGTAAGGTCAGGAGTTAAATTCTATATTCCTCTCCACTGTGCACTCAAGTAGTTTATTCAGATCCCAACGCCTATTTTACACCCTCAAAAATTGTTTACTAAAGTCTAGATATTGGTCTTAAATATTGGGGAAAGAATTTAATGTTGGACATACTTATCATTTCTTTGAAATGCTTTATTGTTTATTAACTTTTCGAGATGGTGCTTTATATTGCAGTGGTGGGTGGCATGGGCTTGGGTAAGATGATTTATAAACCATTATGTTCCAGTTTCCTTTTCAGACATTAGTTTCCATCAGCTTTCTCGTCATCATAATGATTCCTAGAGCTTCTTTGACACCTGACCAGCACCCTCCCAATAAAATTGCATGATCCATGACATAATCATTCTTAGTCCTTTCAACTTTATTTTTCAGCAGTAACCATAGCTGACTCATTTATCCCATTATTTTAGTCATAGAATCTCATCTGCATTAACTGAAAATGTACATATTTTTTTTAAACTTCGATGAAGTCACTCGTTCTCTTAATTGGTCTCTACTGCATTTTATAGTGCAAGGAGTTTATCTATTCACTTCATTTATTAAATTTGATTGTATTATTTCTATTTGTGGGACACATGTAGTTCAGTTTTCCTTTGTCTTTATGCTACTTTCAGTTGTACTACTCATCTGTATATTTCCTGTTGATTACTGTTAGAATCTTTGGGGCCAAGGAAAAATATGAGTATAGTATGCAATAGCATTTAGAAGCACAGACTTTGAAATGAAACAGATCTGTTAACCGTTTTGATCCTTGGTTTCTTCGTTTGTGAAATGGATATTGAAAATAATGGTACTTACTTCATCGGGTGTCTATGAGAATTAAATTATAATATACAGAAATCATAGTGCTGAATGTGTAGTAAGCATTCAATATCATTCAATATATGTTGGCAGTCCTTCTATTACCATTATCTGTCATTACCATTCCCCAGTTAGGATGTCATGGCTCTGTGAGTATGATGTTCTGCGTGTTTCATGAACCTTTCCACCTCTGGCTTTCTATGTTTTCTTCACCAAAGCATATGAATAGCTTCTACTTAGGTGGAAACTTAACAGCTATCCTTCAGACCAGTGCTTCTAAAGAGCCAGTATAGAGCTGAGGAGTAAACTTCTAGAAACAGATTATAGCAATTTAGCAAAATAATTTTGTGTCCCTAAGGCTAAAAGAATATTGTAGGTTTGTACTTCAGGGAAATGAATTGACATAGTTTGTTTTGTTTTATGTCATAAAAGTAATATTAATCTAAGTAATTGCTGATGCTACTGTCCATTCCTGTTGAAATCAAGCTGGCAATTTAGGCTGACATTCAGTATTCATGCTTAAAAACAATTAGTTGACACTTTGAGTACATTATCCTCAAGTTACAAACACAAAATAATCAATTTTCAGTTAATAAAAACTGTTCTTCTTTAAGATATCAGAATTCATAATAGGCATCATCTAAAATGTGCTTTTGCTTGCCATTTTTTTTACAAAATTTTTATTTTTATTTTTTTAATGTTTATTTATTTATTGAGAGAAAGAGAGAGAGAGAAAGAGAGTGTGTACGCATGCATGCATAAGGGAGGGTCAGAGAGAGAGAATTTGAAGCTCAATCCGAATCTGCCAGCACAGAGCAGGATGCAGGGCTCAGTCCCAGGAAACATGAGATCATGACCTGATCCAAAATCAAGAGTCTGATGTTCAACCGACTGAGCCACCCAGGTGCCCCAGAATTTTGATTTTCAAACAAGTATTTTCTTTTATACCGAAATGTTTTAACAAAATTAGAAAATGATATGATAAAAATGCCAATAACGAATGTATCAATGGGAAATGTTATCAGTATTAACAATTTGCATAGAATGGGGAATAAATCATATATATGTGAGAATTTAAGTCTGCTTTATAATATGGGTTATAATTATCATTAAGAGATGTTGCAGTTACTCCATTTTTAGAAATAGTTTAGTTCTGTTTTTTGTAAGAGAATATATGTGGAAGTCTCCCGATGTGGCAGATGAGCCATATACAAACATACTTATTGTATTTTGCTAATAAATTTATTTAACAAAATTAGAATTAATAATTAGTATAAAAATATTAATTGTACTAACATTGGCTAAAGTCATTCCAAATTAACTTATCTAAATTTTAAGTAAATTGATGATACTTATCTTGAAATGTGGGAATTAAATACCCATGAGATCTTGAATATTATTATATAATAATTTGCTTACTAGTGCTATTATTTTATGTACTTAAGTACATTATCCCCTGGATAATTGTAGCTGTTTTTTGTGTTACAAAATGTTAAATCAGTCAACTTACTGTTTAGTTAAACAAAGCTAATTTTAAGTTAAATGTGATATTATAAAATGATATTTCCTAGAAGTAATTTACACTGTTTTTCATTAACTTTATGAATTATTACTCCTGTTGCACTTTGATCAAAGTTTCTCTTGCTTTAATGCAAATCATTAACATTTTGAATTGTCTTTTGTTTGCCAGTTATTGATGGGTATTAGACTTTTAAAATTTTAGTTCTGTAGGGGCCTGTCAGTGCATGCTGATTAACATCCAAAGCAAATATTGACTACATTATTTCCAGGTTTCCAAGGTAGTTTCTAAGGGTTGCTTTTTTTGGCATCTTCATTTTTAGTATGACAATAGGAATGTGCTGTGATTTCATCACATAGGGGTTATTTTTGTGCAAAAGCCTCTAAAGTACCAGTGTTAAGGTTCCATTCCCAAGTATGTGCTTGTTTGAGTCCAAAAGACTCTTAATCACAGATTCAAGTATAAAGACTGAATACCATTTTCACTTAATACCATAATACTATTTTATAGAGAGACCAAAAATTGAAGCTTAAAAATAACAATTTTTGCTAGGCCAGAGTAACTGTGTTTTATTATCACCCTTTAATATATTGAATCTGTATATTTTCAACTACATTTTATACTCTGATATAAATAGAATACATAATAAGCATCTGTGGGATATGCAATTAATGTCACTTTTGAGGAAAGACCCTCATAACACACTTGGGCTTTGGCATTCTTAAATTATGAGCTCTTTACAACACTCATGGGATAAATTTCATATCTCCCAAATGTTTAGTATACATCTTCCATTTCCCTTACTTCCTGTTTTCTGGATTAGCAGTTGTTTTGCTATGGTGGTTTATAGTGATTTAATTGGGGAGGTTCTTGGTTACTGATTAATAATCTGCTAAATTTTGTGATATAATTTTTAAATATTTATATCAGTATATTCTAACACATATCACAGTGTAATTATGTATGACTACTAAGTTTTTTAAATCTATATTTGAAGTGTAAACATATAGTAAAAAATACAATTCTTAGTCATCAAAGTCAGTATAATTACCTTAAAAATTCTCTCTCAACAATTTAAACAAATAGCTTTCTATTCTAAACACAGCTAATGACTGAAATATTCTTTCTTTTCAGTGAGTGTTGTGTTATGTTATACATTAAATGTAAAAAACATAATGACGGACTAAAAGGTGAAGATCCAGTGATACCTTATCTCATACCACTGAATATTCCCCCAGAATTACCTCTTTGGGAAAAAAAATGGTTTTTTCTTCTTCTATATGAAGAATTATCATGCTTAAAAATTGTAGAGGAGAATAATACATTATTTGAAATAATGATTAATA